AATATCGTATACATCTAATAGGAATTTGCAATTATGCTTTAGTATTGAATTTATGAAGCATTTCCTAAGTCGGAGAAAGATTCGGACAGCGTAGATATAAAAGAGCACAAATCCCACGAATGCATGGATGAAAACCAAAATTTTACTTGATAGAGAAAATAGTCAAACAATTCTTGGCCAACGAAGAGGTATATTTTTCTCATTTATCAATTTGTAATTACAAATACATTTAAATATACAAAAAAAAAAATTCAATCATCCTCATATATTTGATTCCACAAATCAATGCAATTGCATTACTACAACCAGAGGAACAAGAATTGCATACATTATGGTATACTACTCCATCATTGCCATTGGACATTCAACACAACATATTAGATGCTATTGTGGGAAATAGAAATCTAAATGATGTAGCAAAAGAACAAATCCCAGATGAATTCAATGTGGAACAAATGACTATTCCTGGCAATTCAAGAACACATGGTTCAGTTGGAGTTCAACCTAGCTCTGCAACATCTTCTGGTGAGTGCAACTACAAAAGTAAAAAAGGAAATGGAAGAAATGTTGGCTATATACAACAGCAACCTAAAAGAAGAACTATTGGAAAATAAAAAAAAAAACTGTTTCAATAGCACCAAAAATGGTAAGAAGATTATATTGTTCAAGAATAAAAAAGACAACAAGCTAATTACTAAATAATCCTTGACAATCAACAACAATTCTTTGAAGAACAACAGAAATGGTAAGAAAATCATTATAAAACATACAATCAGGCATGTAATCTTATGTGGATGTCAGTTTGAATTCACTAAAATCTTACATTGATGAAAAAAATAAGAATATGCTGAACAAATTACATGACTGGAAATTAAATATGAAAGCAATTATATGTTCTATGCAGCAAGATCTTCCTGCAATTACTTCAATTCTCAATACTTCAATTCCTAGGAATCAACTGATGCCATCTTCTATATCTCAACATCAACAACAACAAGTTGAGAGTTTTGAAAGATTGAGAACAGAAAGGAAAAATAAGAGGAAAGAGGTACAATCTTCCCCTATAAAATTTCCATTAAAAGACTATCTGATGAAGAGATACACAACAATTAGAGATTGGATCACGAGACATCCAACTAGGTAAGAAATATAATTTTACTTTATGAGCTTAAATATTATAATTTTGCTTTGATTTTATCTAATGCTAATTTAAGTTGGTTATACAGCAAATATTGAGAAGACAGATGTGGCAATATGTATGGAAGAGATGTATTGAAGGATTTATTGGATATAACAAAAGATTTAACCATTGTCGTAAGTAAAGTTTAGTAATTACAATAAGTTTTATTTGATTGTTATGTATTTAATTTATGCCTATTTATTTTATTAGAACATTGAGGTGGAGTTAAAATTATTGCGACAACGGATTAATGAAGGTTGTACAGTTGTTTCTTAAGAATATGCGATCATGGACTTTGCATTTCAAATTGAATGTGTTCGCCAAATGTTTTGGGTCATAAACTCAGAAAAAATGAGTTAATAGTAGAGATCAGACACTGGAAACAATTAATTTACATAGATATGTAAATGGTGAATTACCTACAACTGGTCGTCCATGTTCAGCGTGCAACTATCTATTAATTCCATGTTCATACCCAAATAATAGATGGTACATTTTTGTTGTTAACATTCGTGAGTGGAAATTTCAAAAGTACGATTGGAGCAACGATGTTCACACACAAGAAAAAGTTAAAAATCATAATATGGCAACAGTTGGTATGGTCCAAACATTATTATTGTTTTCAACTCCTATGAGAAGAGATGTGAGAAAATATAGAAATAAAGATATAGAGTTGGAGATTATATCTTACTTATCTTGTGCAGATAATGGGTAAGTACTAAAACTGTTTATTATGTACTACAATATTCTAATTAGATCTTAGTATTAATCTAATCTAACATAAACTATTTGTTTATTCCACAGGCCAAATTGTCCAATTTTTGTGGTTAAATTCATAGAATGTTTTGTCCTAAAACATCCAATAGAAACTATTTCACCAGACAGGATGAGCATATATAGAAAGAAGATTGTAACAGATATTTATTTCAATGAATATTTCTTGCATCCTCACCAGTGTTGATGCCTAATATTGTAATGAATAATTCAGTAAGCTAACTTCTTGTCTCTAAGGAAAGTTATGTAAGAAATTTAATGTAATTAGGCTATGCATTGTTTCTTAAGGTTATGCAGTTTTATTTTCTTCTCTCCTTTGAATATGTTGTTACATCATTTTAATGAAAAGTTGTTCCTTTGTATTTTTCTAATGTAGTGTGGGAGGGAGAATAAAATTTAGAGTAAAACAGCACCCAAAGTAATTATTCACCACTCTGTAAACTAACTGCTATCATTCTCTCTAGTTTCTATTTTAATAGATATTCAAAGACTAAATTCATAAGCTCGCAAATGATATATTGAAATTCAAGCTTACACTTATTAATATAACAACCAGCAATAGGGGAAAAAAAAGAGGTACTGTGGATAGGTGAAAAAAGCTAAAATTATATATGAAATCAAAGTAGAAAGCCACTTAGAAGCTAGTAAAAAGGGGAAACTCACCTTCAATACAAATTTTATAGCTGCAATTGAATCGCTTGTGTTGAATTTAATAACTTTATGTACTCATATGCATTCTTGAATCTGCATTACATGAATTTTGCTTCCCGCTCAATAGGAAAAACAAAAATAAAATGTTGCTGTAATTGTATGCTTGTCAATCTCTCAAGCAAAAATCGAGAAAATAAAGAATAAGTTAGATATGAACATAAGAAGAGAAAAGCTACAGTAATGCAATATGATTTATAGATTTGGAGTTTACAATAAATGTAATAATATTTAAAAGGTAAAACATTGCATTGGAAAGAATCATCTAAACATAAACGAAGAATAAATAACTCTGGGTTGGAATTTGTTGTAAAATGTGTATATTTGAACTACTTTCTTTTGATGAAGAAGTAATACCTAACAAATACACATTTAGGGTCCGTTTGATATGCCATATTTTTCATAAAAAATGAAAAATTCCCCACCATTTTCCAACTTTCTACCTGTTTGATAGGCAATTTTTTTCAGGCATTTGGTTTTCTTATTTTTCCTCACGTGACCCCTAATTCCACGAAAAGCAGGAATTCCAATTCTCATGGTTGAGTTGGTTTTAGTTTTCTAGGGAATTCAAAGTGAAAGAAACCCTTAAACATGCCAAACCCAAAACATTTCTCTTTCTTCTCACAACATTGCTGCGTCCCATTTCTCCTGCAGAACCGGCCCTTGAAATACCGACAACGTAGACCCAGAAAATCTCCCCATAATCCAGACCGATGGTGGACGCTCTTTAATTCTGATCCCGTCGCTCTCTCTCTCTGTTTTCCCCTCCGAAATTTCTAAATCGGTATGTATTGCATGAACTTAAACTTTGCAAGTAGGGTATGCCCCCTTTTTTTTTTCTTTGGGAGTTGAAGGGCTGGGTAAATGGTTTTTGTCTCTCTTCCTATTTCATTTTCTATGCTCCTATTTCATATGCTACCATATTTTATTCTTCAGTTGTAGGTTCTTGCGAACTATTGTGATTAGCTTCTAAATTAAGATTTGTAATTCACTTCTATGTTAGATTTTGGGTGTTTTAGTCTTGCTTTTTGGAATGGCAATGTATTGAAGAACCTGTTAACTTAATTGTAAACCAGCTATCAACCCTTTCACTCGGTAACTTTTTGGAATTTCATTTTCCTTTTTTTGGGTTTAGGATTTTGATTCTCATGTTTAAAATTTCCTTTTTTTTGTTGTTCACATGACACAACACAGACGTTTGCTTTATTACTAATGTAATATTACTTATGACCAATCTGGGAATCCATAACTGCAGAAAAGCAATATAATACTGGTGAACAAAAATGGAATTTGTTAAATGAGCGCTCATGATACTCAGTTAAAGCGAGAAGAATAGAAGTGGGTCTACTATTATTTGGAAGAGAGAGGACGGTAGCAAAAACATATTTCATATAAATAAGCTTGTGTTGCTATCCCCGTGTAAATTAGGATCTGTAATTCACTTCTATGTTGTTTGGAAGATAGAGGACAGTAGCAAAAACCTATTTGCATTAAAATACCCAATAGTCTTCCAAAGTATCATTTCTGGGTTGTTCCTAACATTGGGTTAATATACTTTCACTTTCCTCTTTTCTTTTCACTGCCTGTTGGTGTTACATAGGAGCTATTTTTATTCTCTCATTTTAGTCAGGTTCTTAGTATCATTTAGTAGTTGCCCTTTTCAGTTTGGAAGATGAAACAGGTTGATGTTAAAATTGCTTTTTTATATGGTGAATTGAAAGAAAAAAATTTATGAAAGCATGGTATTTATAGATTGGTTTAAATTATATATGTAGTACACGTAGTTATGAAAGATAAATAATTTATTACTGTACAACACATTATCCAAGTACAATTTGTTTGATAAATAATAATAATAATAATCATAATAATAATAATAATGATGATGATGATGATGATGATGATGATGATGATGATGATGAAACCCTTTTTTTAAGTTCCAAATTGTTAAAACAATAAATCAGAATATGAGAGTATGTGAAAAGTGTGTAGAGATTTGTCAAAGTTCATGATGTCAACAGCTCATTAATTCTTTTCACTTCAAATTGTTTAATGGGTTTTAGAATGTTTGTTTTAATCAATTTTATCAATTATGTAGTGATCTTGTTAGTCAATTATGGAAATTCGAAGTTTGAGTATATTCTTCTTCATGATTAAATGATTATCATAATATATTTCGTTGTTTGAAACGAATTTCATGTGACAAAAATTAGTATATTAACACTTTAGATGTTCTTTGAAGTACCATACCTACCACGGGGAACCAACGTAGTCGCCGAAGACAACAATTAGGATTATTTTGGATGATGGTCGTGCAAGCAATTGTACTATATAATACCGTCAGGCGTCGTAGTCGCCAACTCCCTAGAGCCCCACATAGGAACTGAGATTTTGAACGAGAAATGACACTTACACGAATGTTTGGTATGGGTGATAGAATTTGTCATGATCTATTGAGGATGAAGATGGCTCCGTTTCAAAGCTTATGTTCTCGTTTACGAACATATGGCTTGGTTGACAATAGATTTATCAAAGTAGAGGAACAGGTAGCTATATTTCTCAACACCGTTGGACATGACCACCGTAATCGAACTGGAAGTTTTACGTTCTTTAGGTCTGGTCAAACAGTGAGTTACTATTTCCATAGAGTTTTACAGGCTTGACTTGGATTGTACAGAGATGTTGTTAACAATGCTACTATTCATAACTCACCACACCAAAAGGATAAGGTGAAGCCATGGTTCCAATATTTTCAGGTCGAGTGGTAACATTTAACTTCGTTCATTTTCCCTTTACTATCAGTATTCCGTTTATAATTGGACTTTTTGGTTTTCATATCAGGATTCTGTGGGGGCAATCGACGGTACTCACATTTCTGCAAATGTCCCCATAGAGGAACAATCAAGGTATCGCAATAGGAAGTAAATGATAACTCAGAATGTTTTGGTGGCTTGCACATTTGATATGAAGTTCATATATGTGCTTGTCGGTTGGGAGGGATCTGCCCACGATGATCAGTTATTAAGGAGCGCAACTTTATGACAAGGTCATAGGCTAACAATTCCTGCTGGTAAGATATACATCTTGTTTGATAATTTATCTTTCTCTTGTTTCAATAACGAACGACAACTTAACAACCATGTGTGGAATAGGTAAATATTATCTGGCCGATGCTGGATTTCCATTGGTTCTGGGATTTCTTGCACCCTACCATCGGACTAGTACCATCGTAGAGACATTGAGGGACATCGGCCTGAAAGTAAGAAAGAGCTGTTTAATTTTCGACATTCATGTCTGCGAAATGTTGTGGAGAGGATTATTGGTCTGCTTAAAAAAAGATTCGCATATCTGAGACATCAACCATACCACGACATTGATACACAAGCAAGGATTGTTCTTGCTTGTTGTGCTATTCACAACTTTTTAAGAATTTATGACGTAGAGGATCTTTGTGAGGAGGACTATTGCAGTAGTGATGATGAGGTTAACCCTGGACATGTTGATGCACCCGAAGATGACACACAAAATGCACCTATATCTTTCACAACAAGAAGCTGCATGGTGTTGTAATAGGGATACAATGGCTGAAGACATGTGGGCCGCTTACCATCCAAGTCTTGATGCGGAAATTGACTTCTATTGAATATACCATGTTGTATTTCATTATTCGTATTTCCCTGTAAGAGTTGGTGAATAACTTGCTAGTGTTCTTGTCTCATACTATGGTCTGTTTTACACTTGCTTTGTTGTAACATTATTTTCGATGCTTGTTCTATTGTGATGTTTTCTTATTTTCAAGGCTATGTACATTTGCTTCTATGATACAGTTTCAAATATCTTTGCCTGGTTAATATCATTGTTAGATTATTTTCACGACATACTATTATTCCTTCTAGTTATGCTAATACTGACCTTTTTTTGTTTTCAAGTTATTGCGTTGATGGCACAGAATTGACGAAGTTCTCTTGGCCCTTTTCAAGCTGCTAGACCGACCACTCCTTCAACAGGGAATGACATTGATTTTGGTATATTGTAAGTAGATCCTAATCCTAGGACTCGTCACATACGTTGGAGTGACGACATGGATGGTTAAATGATCACTTCACTTGTTGAACAAGTGCTGGATGGGCACAAATGAAGTGACAATTGCCTTACTTCGTTTCAAGTGTCTAAGGCAATTGAGAGGTTCTCAATGGATGCGGGGTCATGGTCTCAGATAAGAATGTCAGGGCAAGGTTGAAGACTCTTAAAAAAGAGTATGCCGAAGTTCGCCAGTTGCTAAATATGAGCGATTTTAGGTTGGATCCCGATACTGGACGCATTATAGCCGATGCCATTGCTTGGGACGATTTCATTAAGGTATGAATTACGATGCATTTTCGACATTGATACTAACAGAGGCGTGTGTGTGTGTGTATATGTGTGTATATATATATATATATATATATATTTATTTATTTATTTTTTCTGTTTTGTAACAGTTATAATTCACTCACAAGGTTATTTTGCAGGGGAAGCTAGAATTTGGAAAGTGGCGGACCCAATGTTGTCCAAGATACGATGAGATGGAGACTATCTTTGGCAATGATGCTACCACTGGAGATCGCGCAGTGTCTAGCTTCGACCATTTTTCCCCAATGAATGATATACAATATATTTTATAGCACGGTACCTTAATTGTATTCATGTATAAACTTCAGACAAGTTGCTAAATATTTTATGCAGCAACTGATGAATGTGTGAATGAGGTAGATATGGACAATGTGGAGATGGATCCTAGCCCATTTGTTTGTCGTAAGCGTACCGTTGAAGAGAGGACCAGCAAAGTCAAGCGTCGATGAACACAACCTGTGGATGAGAGTACTATCACCCTATCGAAGATTACTGATTCATCTACAAAAATAGCTCAAGCTATGGAAATGCAAACTGCGCTAGATACACTGAATCATGTCAACTGGCAGTTGATTCTAGAGAAGTTAAAAGCCATAAACCTAGACATGGACGACATCATGCAAGTCATGAAAGCTTTTCGATCTGACGATGCTTTGCTAAGGTATTTATGAATATGACAAGTACTAAATACATGCATGCTTTGGTGTTTGACAAGCTTGGTCGTGATCCGCTTTCACTACTTTAGACTGTACTTGACTTATGGCGTTATTATTTGGAAAACTTAATCCACATAAGTAGTACTTTGACTGATTTTTTGTAATGCACATATGTAACAACTAGTGTGCAATGTTTTGTATGCATTGATGTGGATGTGTTTGGTCAATTAGTGTGCAGTCATTTTTTGATATGTTATGACAAGTTCGCCAATTGCTAAATATCTTCTTGTCGTTTATTGGGTTGATATTTGAGGTATCTTCTTTATTTTGTAATGTCATTAGTACATTTCAATATCTAGAGAGTACGAATATCGTGTTGATTTTGGGGTGACACTCAAATTCGACATAAATATACAAAATGTTTCGAAGTGGCACTGCGTGCGTGGTCCATTCATCACATGAGAAATATCGAACGACATTTGAATATTGTACCTAACGAACACATTCAACGAGTAGACATCAAGTAATGCAATTGAAGTATGTTACCGCTTCAAATTGTGCATGTGGTCTAATTTACTCAATTGGGATCTTTATAATTATTTACAAATTAACTTTTTCACTACAATTTGGTAAAAACTTTTTGCTTCATTTTGATGCACATTTTCAATACAACATCACGTGAATATATTCCTGTATCCATCCAAATCATTTGCAAAGACTTCTGTGTGTGTCACGGAGACAGTTTCTCCGTGTGGAGCAGTGTGTCACGTTGTGTCACGGAGAAACGCTCTTCGTGACACACTGTCACGGAGACACTTACATACGTTTTTTTCCATTTTTTCTTTTTTTCTGTTTTATTGTTGTTTCAGGATGTGGTTTTGTAAACAAAGATAACAATATAATCTACGATCAATTGTACACTTTTTTAAGTTCATCTTCTATACTGGGTTTTCATAAACAAAATAATATATTCATTTGAAAATATTCATTATTGTGTAATTTACGCAGATGTCTCTGGAATACGTTCTCTCTCCATTTCAACTCTTGTTATTTATTACCGTTGTTAAGTTCTCGTTTATGGCATGTTACACTAACATACAAGTATTTCTTGTACAGGCTAAATTGCATAATGTTTGTACTCAAAGAAGACATTTTTATGAAATAAAACTTTTAATTTGTTTATAACACACAAACATATATTTAAAAAAAAAGTGACATAGCTTCAGGTCCCTAATTCCCTGGATGGAAAAATGTGCATAATGACCTTGTGTGGTTTAGAAGAAAAATATTGTTTTTAGTAGATTTTGGTAAAAAAATTTGATGAAATATGTAGTTTAAAAATTGTAAAATTAATGAAATATATAGGTCAAATTAATTTTAATAAAATTTTATCAATTTTTGTAGTTCAATCAAATAGGAACTCCTTACAAAATGGCAATCAAACACCAATAGTTAGAAAATAAATACACTTTCCATGGAAAATGAAGCCAATCAAACACCAAAAGATGGAAAATTTCAACATTTTTCAGGTGGAAAATTTTACCAATCAAACACATTTAATAACCAATTCCCAGGAAAACGAATTCTAGACAATTCAATTCCCTGGAATTCGTTTTCTTTCCACCCAAATTCCATCTTTACAATCAAATGGAACCTTAGTAGTTAATTCCAATATATAAACCTAAACTTGAAAAAACCAAGCAAAAGTATAACTAACCTTTGTCACATTCTTCTCTGTTAGTTTCTTGAGCAATACTTCTTCTGAATACAGAATGATCTACAATGTAAATAAAGCAAAAAGGTAAATATAAGAAAATTTTAAACTAAAAAAATATATAATTAAACCAAAAACAGAATTTATAGAACTGCCTATTCTTTGTGCTTTTCTATCATGAGAGGTCCTCATTTTCAATCGCTCGTGCTTGGGATTCTCGTGAATTTGTTTCTTTTGCCACAGAATCCATTAGACAAAGAACTAAACACAAATAACAATTTTAAACATTGGAATTAGAATTAAATGATGACATTAAAAAGAGGATAAAGAAAGTTAAGGGAGAAAAAAAGAAATATTGCCAACACCGATTATTAAAAAAAAAATAGAGCCTAAATTCACAGAAAAAATAAAAGAAAGTAATGATAATGTAAGAATAGTTATTTACACTAAATTAAAAAATTTAGAAATGCATGCCGAATTAATGATTAATATAAAAAATTGGTAAAGCTTAAATGCTGCACCCAAGTAAAATTGTCGACATACACATTCATACACTTGCATATTCACACTTTCAAAGCATTAGAATCCAAAAATTTAGCAACCAATTATATAATAT